GGATTCAGTGATTTGTTAAAATTAATTACGGTTTCAGGCACGGTGGCATGGCTCTGTAGTCTCAGCTCCTTTGGAGGCTGAGGCGGTAGGGATATCTTGAGCCCAGGAGTTCCAATCTAGTCTGGGCAACATAACACAAATTAATTATTTTGGTAGTTTTATATTTTTCTGTGACTTGTTTAACAGTGATTGTGAATGCAGTCATGTTTACTATGAAAGTCTCGAAGTAAACTTGTTAGTGAAACAGATTATAGCAGTGTGGACTCTTACTGCTCAGTAAATGTTATAAGATCTTACTTTTGTTTGTTTCTTGGTGTTGGAAAGAGAGGACGTGAGATGAGACCACAATCAAAGTAGACCTCTTTCTGCAGAAAACGCATTTTATGCTGTTTTCAAGTAACCTCTCTACACCCCAGGGCGCTCCTTTTTCTGATCCGGGTCCAAGTCTCTGCGCCCGCGTCTTGTCCCGCCCCGCCCCTTCACTGCTGTCCGCTCGAGTCCTCCGGCTGGAGATCAGGAGCTGTTCTTGCTGCAATCCCACAGTCAGCCACAGGGAGGTGACAGCAATCGAAAAAGCCGGGCGGCGACCCCAACCCACGGGGGCGCCGGAAGCGGAAGAGGCGGGAGCTAGGAGCACGTTACGTCAGTAGGTGCGGGCCCAAGGGCTGGATCGCTGTGTTGGGAGCGTGGCGTCCTGCGGCGCGTGTGGGGTGTTGCGAGGCTCCGTCCCGCCGGGTAGAATTCGGACCTCATGGCGGAGATAATTCAGGAACGTCTAGAAGATCGACTCCCCGAATTAGAGCAGCTAGAGCGCATTGGACTGTTCAGTCGCGCGGAGATTAAGTGAGAGAGTGATGGGGAAGAGGAAGAGCCGGGGCGGGTTGGAGGGTGTTGAGGAGCGTGGGGCAGCGGGCTGGGGTGGGGACACTGGAATTGTGTTTTATTTTTTCTGACATTGCGGAAGCCCATTACCGGGTTTTGATGATACCCAGAATTAATTTCTCATGCATTATAAGGTGATCCGTTCGTCTGTTCACCGCCAAACATACCGACCACTCTTAATGGAACCAGGTCTTGCGGCTATAAAAGAAGATAAAACTGGGTTACCTGCCCATCAGGAGCTAACGGGGCACTATGTTTGGTGTGGGAAACACGTTTTAAACATTCTGATTATTGTACATTGGTTGCTGTAGAGTATTATCTTGTAAAGATGGGAGCAGAGTGCCTCCGGAGCCCGAAGGAGTGGATAAATCTTCCTAAGTAGGTTTGAACTTGGGAACCATTTAATTCAGTGTCATATGCTGCCCCAGAGCCTAGCCACAACGCCTGGCAGAGAGTAGGGATTCAGTGATTTTTTTTTTTTTTTTTT